GATTTACACTTTTATTGTGTGAGTTGTACTGAAGGTAATCCAGAAAAAAATAGCTGGCCCCCTGTCACATCCGCCTTAAAACAGATCCGCCCTGATCTAAAAAACGTTTTTCATACTTATTAATTTATTTGGATGAATTGTTTCAATGATAAGACTATTTATCTTCGTGAATGCACATTATTAAAATAATGCGAAAAAACATCATAATTAGAAATACAGCTGTATTTTTTCCACTGTTATTATATTTTCTCTCAATTTATCCAGAAACTTAGCAGAGACTGACAGGTCCTTGTGTTTCTTTTTATAATTCGAAATAGTCGTAACAATAATATTCTGATGAGATTCCAGTGGTTTTTGTACTACTTTCTAGTACCGTATAATGAACGTTAACAACCCGCCACTGTCTTCCGCAGCTGGTAGGCAGGGATTTTCTGATTGAGTCCATATTAGACAGACGACACGCAGCACGCCCATAATACCGATCAGAAACTTGTTCTCGCCCGTGATTAAGAGTTGTTACCAACATACAGGGTGATACAACAACAATTGCACCCAAATATAATAAATTATGTTCCTCAGTACTAGGTACAAGGAAACCCGCGTGTTCTTTACCGCCCTGTACACGATACTAGAGGAAAATATCCAATTAAGGTCAATGTGAAACGGACCGAGAGAAACATAACACCGCTTCGAAAAAAAATATCGTTAATTATACACTAACGAGTATTTTGCATGCCTTATACAATCGACATTATTTTTTTCACAAACACCCACGCTACGTAAGCTACCGTGCCCGGTTGAAAAAAAAACGCGAGAGTGATTATAAAGGAAATAAAAGTGGCTATTGAAATGCAAGCAGTCATGGGTGAGGTATGCCAGCCTGCCCACGCGTTACACAATGTAATGCCCCATTAATAATCCCACTGTGTCATTCGATAGCGCGTATACAAGGTGGAAGCGGCGCACCGTAAATCATGCAGAAAAGGCTGCATGCAGGCTGCAGGGAAAAAATACGAAATGGGAACGTATTTCTTCTCCCCTAGGTGGTTGCGTCGGTAATAGATGGGTGATCGCTTGCAGGTGGAGGTCCACGCTTTAGAATCGTTGATGTTTCATACAAAATTGCTCACAACAACGCAGTAATATCTTAAGTGTACTTTTCGCAAATAAACACTTAATGACACGGACAAGGGTAGACGTTCGATCGCACCCCTTGATGGCTCCGCCAATTCCCGAAATGGATCTTTGTCGATGTTCTTGTCTTTGACCATCCTGACTATATGCGACCTCTGATGTCGTCTTGACCCGTTGTCGAACATGGTTAGGTTTTTGAATTTACGTTTATCACATCGTTCGTTGCTTGCGATCGATTTTTTTAATTCAGGACTGTTTTACTAGATAATTTAAAACATTGATGCAGAAGACACCTGCAGCATCTGACTCTGCAGGTGTCTTCTGCTTTAGCCGAGCTTTTTTGTACTTTATAGACAGTTCCAGCGACGGAAACCGAAAGATCGGTAAAAATCTAAACGCTGTCTTGAGTGGTTTGGGTGACTGCATTTAGCATTAAATTGAAATAAATAAATGAAACAACAAAGGTAACCATTATTCTAGACCACCACAATAGCCCGCAGAACGTCTCGCTTGTCCGCCACCGCCACAACAACGGCCTAAAGCCGCACCAGCTGCATTTCCAATTAGCCGAGATCCATTAAAACCAGGCCGCTGCCAAAGCAGCAGCGTTCAATGCCCAATTATTCGATCCGCGCTAGACTCGTCTCTGAGCGCCCCCATTGCGAACACACACACACACACACAACAGACACACACAGGCGGACCATGAAAGAGAAGCGCTAATGGCATATGCATAATGCGTCGTTATTAACGATCAATTTGGTTGCTTGTCTCGACGCCCACGTTGTTTATGTTGTGTGTGGCGGATAATCCGGTTAGCCGGGTCGAGTATAGGTCGTTGCGAAGTAGCTTGGGCAGGGCCAGGGTAAGCTGGAACGATTTTTCTGGTAGTTGAAAAGATCACTTCACAATCGGTTCCGAACGGCTTGCACTTCGTTCATAGAGTGAGTTATTAACGTTGCTGTTTCGTTGCGATTAAATCCAGCGTATTGTAGATTTATAGTTAAGCCGTTACTCTATTGGCCCTTGTTGGTACTGCCTATACTTAGCGTCACAGTAGGAGATTCAGTAAGTTGGTAACCGGTTCATGTCAAGATTGTCAAGGCAATGGACGTACAACTGTACTCTTTTTTTAATTACAAATGTTTCGACACCTTGATTCTGGCTTTTTGAAGACTAAATATGTACAGGGTGGTCAAATGAAAACAAAACAGAGCCAATTTCAGGAACTGCGTCAAGATTGTAAAAGAACACTCAGACCCGTCGATTTCAGATTAAAGGGGGATATTCTTTGCTGGTATTTTGGACTCCGCCACTTTCACCTCTAAGTAAAGGTAAGCATCACCCCAAAATATTTAAATGGCATTGGGGGTTGAGTAATATTTCTTTTGAAAGCTCTTACAATTCTCTTTACAACAGACTTTAAATATGATAATTCCGCCCAATACTTTGAAAAAAAATTACATTTTAAAATTTAAATTATGCTTAGTTGCTTACTTACTACTTAGTTGATTAAATGTTCAAACTGATGACCGCCCGCTTCCATACAAGAATAAAGATTTTGTTCGAAACGTTCGCGCACATTCCGAAGCATTTCCGGAGTGATTCGACGGCATTCGTCGACGATTCTTTGACGCAAATCTTCCAGCGACGCTGGCTGTGTTTTATAGATTTTACTTTTTAGGTATCCCCACAAAAAGAAATCAAGGGGCGATAAATCCGGTGATCGTGGAGGCCACTCAATGCTGCCTCTTCTCCCAATCCAATTCCGTAGAAAACGTTGGTCCAAATACTGACGGACAATTAACGCATAATGCGGAGGAGCACCGTCCTGTTGAAAAATCAAATGATCTTCATCATACTCTGGAACATTTTCAATAATATCAGTCAAGGCAGGGTCAATAGCGTCTTCCAGTAATTGCAAATACATTTGGCCAGTCAAATTACCAGGTAGAAAAAAAGGACCCACCAGCCGGTCACCGAAAATTCCAGCCCATACATTTAATTTTTCCGGTTGCTGTGTATGCACCTCGTGAAAAACTCTTGGGTTTGAATCGGACCAATAGCGGCAATTGTGACGATTTACCGTCCCGTTCAAGAAAAAACTGCATTCATCAGAAAAACAGATGTTAAAAAGGAACTGTGGATCGTTCCCTGCTCGCTCACTCATTATTTCGCAAAATTGCAAACGGCGGTCATAATCATCCTCATGAAGTTCCTGGACTAAATGTATTTTGTATGGATGGAATTTATTCTTCTTCAAAATGGTTTGTATGCTAGTTCGATTGATCCCAGACACAGATGCCAGCTGCCTCGTACTTAATGTAGGATCAAGATGAACTTGTCCCAAAACTGCAACTTCACTAGCTTCATTAACTATAGGTTTTTCAATTTCTCGTTTTTTATTGGGTAAGTTCCCTATCTCTCGAAATTTTTTTACTAACTCTAGAACATACTTCCTCCTGACAAGTCGATCTTGATGTTGTTCATTAAATAGCTGAGCTGTTCTATTCGCACATTTATTGTTCATAAAGCAAAGCGAAATGATATCTATCCTTTCCGCAATGGAATAAACCATAGTGTTTAATTTTCAAAAACACAATTAAATAAAATACCAACCAACGCTTCCAAATAATACTAGAAAATAATTTGGAATCCACTAATTTTACGTTCATTGTGTATGTATAGCATTCATTCCTGTTTTTACAATTGTGTTTTTTTTACGAAAGTGATAACAAATCGACAAAAACCAATGTAACGCAAGAAATACTAAATTTATACCATTGGCGTACTTAACTCGAATGACTGACATTTTTACCGTTAGGTACTAATTATTGTTTGTACATAAATTTCAACTTTAAAATCAAAATTCTTAATAAGTATTGGGCGGAATTATAAAATTTAAAGTCTGTTGTAAAGAGAATTGTAAGAGCTTTCAAAAGAAATATTACTCAACCCCCAATGCCATTTAAATATTTTGTTGTGATTTCACCTCCCTTGCTTGGAGGTGAAAGTGGCGGAGTCAAAAATACCAGCAAAGTAAAAAAAAATCTAAAATCGACGGGTCTGAGCGTTTTTCGACAATCTTGACGCAGTTCCTGAAAATAGCTCTGTTTCGTTTTCATTTGGCCACCCTGTATAAAACAATACTGCCAATGTACCAAAAATTCCTGTTCCTGTGTAACGGAATTAATAATAATAAAAAATAGTGAAAGTGTAATCTAAAACAAGTAAACGATGATTCAGCTTGTAATGATCACATTTTAACATAACGGAAAGTTTTGTTACAGTTTTTTTTAAGAGGGTATGATAACACTCGAGCTCATTCATATCAAAAGTCATCTTGAGGTCATATAGTGACTTTATTTTTAATTTGATACCATATATTGCTGCTACACAATAATTATTATTAATAATGTGTGTAAACATATTTCAATGTAATTGTTAAGAAACAAGAATCTCACTTTATTATTGTACAGGGTTAATTTATGGATTTTGAAACTTGATAGGTAAAGCTAAGATACCTACGATGAAATGTTGCATAAAAAACTGAACAATGTGATGTGTTTTAATTGAATTATTCGAGGGGTATGAAAAATATGTGTACATTCCTTGTTAACAAATAAATATATCACAAGATTTTTCCTTCTCTTTACCTCCCATATTCCTTCTTGTTTACTATTATTGTTTTCTGTTATTCAATATTCTCCTGTAGTCCTTGTTATTCCCCGCATATTCCCCTAGGAATTCCATCAATTCCCTCGTGGCTAACCCCCAATTATGTAAATACCGATATAGATAGGTGCAGAATTTCCCATTGCCCTATATTCTTTCTCACTTCATTTATACCGTCTCTGTTGCTTCAGGAGTGGGACTCATCACTGCCAGGGGTGAAAGACTACCCCGAACTCAGGTTAGCAGTAAAGCGTTGGACGGAACTACAGGACGGCCAGCGGATACTGTTGACTACGCCCAGCGTCCTCGTCGGATACCGGGTGGAGGTTTACCGTGCCGAGGGCACCACCCAGTGGTACACTGCTGTGATAATCGGTTACAACGAAGCTACTAGGGTAAGTCGCCCCCCCGAACAGTCGAAACTCAATTCGCGACCCCTAGAGGCCGAGCTACGAACTTGAAAACTATTTTCAGCGGTTTCTCTTGGTCGATTTATTAATCAAAAATTTTTTTTCGAAGTTGTAAAGCCTAAACTTTCCCTAATATCGTACCTCGCCGACCTTAGTGGGACAAGTTGAGAATGGGATTCCATGGGCGTATCATTTTTCAGAGATTCAAAAATTATTAAATATAAAACGACTAAATTTATAAAATTGACGTATTGGCTTCTTAAAACGTTTTTATTCCAAATGTGGCAAAAATGGTCAATTAAGTAAATCAAAAAGTAAAAATCAAACGTTGTTTGAAATTTATTATGCCCAAAGAAGACAGCCTGTATAAAATAATGAATATCAAAATTTTAAAAAAGTAAAGTGTCGAAACTCTGGTATTTTATCTCAGTTGAAAAGCGTATTTATTCAATTCCGAAAAGTTTTTACATTTGGGGTATCACTTCAAAGAAAATTCTGTTTACTGTTCCCGTCTACCAATGCCTAATGCTTAATGTCATCCTTTCAAATACCGAAGAAAAGTCTTTCCTTCAGTTTAATTGGAACCCTTTTTGCGAGATGAGACTCGTTCCCTTTGAGAACGAGCCGGTTCCATAAATCACCTCTCCCCGAAGAAATCTCATAATTATATAATTTATAAGAGCGGAAAAACAAAATGGAAACGCTCCTACGGACAAAAACGGCGGTCCGGCATAAATCCTGCTTCGGAGTCAAACCGAGAGTTCAACTTGAATTCATTAGAAAAGTTTGCATTGAAAAAGTTCCGGGGCAAATTCGTTATCAAACTTTGTTTAATGGGGATAGTTCCGAGCTCTCGCACGTAATGCGGCAAGGCGGACGTCAGTGGCGTAACATATCGCCAACTTTAATTTGGTTTGGGTCTACGGAAGGGGAATCTATTTTAGTCTTTATATTCAAGAACACTATAGTGTAATCTCTGGGAATGAAATCTAATCTGTATAAAAAACGACACTTATATAAATGTGCCAAATCAGAATATACACTTTAGTCTTTATGTTTGAAGACTAAAGTGTTAACATAAACCAACTTCCCTCTCGAGGCTAAGGAATACACTTAATTCCCTTGTATATAATATGCCTTTCATATTACGTAAAGTGCATATTTTCATCTACATAGATTAAATGATGCACTTTAGTCCCTTGGTATAACCGAGACTATTTAATATTGTTTAATTAAGTATCTAAAAAATACACTTTAGTCCCTTGGTATACGATATGCTGTTTAGCATTTTATGATCAAAATTAATAAAACGCAAAATCCCTGATGCTAAAGTGCATCTTTTGATCAAGAGAGATTAAAAGAAACAATGTAGTCCCTTGTTATCTAATACAGTATTTAGTATCTAAAATCTAAACATCAATGACACTAAACTGCATATTTAGGTCTCGAAGCTATTACTCTTTAGTCCTTTGGTATATGCCATTTATTATTTCATTATTAAATTTAATTAAACGTAAAATGCCTATGAAGCTAAAGTACATCTCTTGACTCCATAGATTAAAAGTCACTTTAGTCCTGCTGTTCGCCATACCTAGCACCCTGTGACCGGAAACAACTAAAATTAAAGTAACTTTGTAAAATTTTCGAATTCCTGTGAATATCTTTCCTTCCTATGCGAGCCGCCGCCGCTGCCACGCGCTCGCTTCCCCGTCCGCAGCCTCCACCTAGGAGCGAGCTCGGGAAACAGAGGCCGTAACTCACAGCAGCCGAACTAAAGTGGAGGCCGAGACCGCAGAATGGCAACAAATCAAATTCCTGGGCCGGGGGAGGCGGCAACTCCACCGTCCTCCGTGGGATAAAACCGGGAGAAGTTTTTTATGCCGGAACTTCGGCGGATCGATGCCGCATGAAGTGGAGTTTAACGAAAAATATCGCCCTGTTTACTCGGGGATTAGGTTATCATGCTTTCAACTTTTATTTGACTTTGCGAACGGTAATTCCGTTAAAAGTTTCCATCCCCGGGCTCGCAAGTCCCGATCGGAGATGTTTGCCCGTAGATGGAATCAGTTCCCGGACGAAATTTTTGTTTTATACTACTTCCGTGCGGACTCCGTTGAAAAATGTATGTTTGTCGACTGCCGACTTTACGGAAGTTCGGAAAGTCACCTTGTTCGGTTGAAATTGAATCTTCGTTCGTCTGGTGGAAGTTGTACTAACCAGTACATTGGCTCTATACGTATATTTTTAACTATTAACAAGAAATAACTTGCCCTTGAATGAGAAAGGTACTTTACGCACTAAAGCGTAAAGTTAGTATTTCATGTACAATGCTACAGCAAATATATTTTTATTCATTTCCTTCAATAAAAAAGATAGTGCGTAGTGTACAGCGCGCGTAATGTAACCATTTTACTCGCGATAATACAGGAGATATATTTTTCAGCATTAATTTTTATATCCTTTGTAGTACCTATTGAATTACAGTTAGAATAGTTTATAGTTGGTTTAAGTACTGAAAACAGGTACTTTACGCACTAAAGCGTAATGTACAGTTAGCATTTTATGCGCAGTAATAGAAATAACATATTTTTCAATGAGTGGGAATCGATCCTTGAATTAAACAAAAAAAAAAATGCGTAATATACAGAGTGCGTAAAGTTTGTATTTTACGCGAGGTAGCAGAGAAAATGTATTTATTAATATTAAGAGAGTGAATTTTCTCTTGACTGAAAAAAGGTCTTTACGCAGTAATGAGCACTGTACAGTATGTATTAGCATTTTACGCACGATAATGCAGAAGACATATTTTTCAGTGATTAATTTGTATATCCTTTGAATTACATTTAAAATAGTGATATATAGTATAAGTACTGACTGAAAAAAGGTACTATACGCACTAAAGCATTTTATGCGCAGTAGTAGAAAAAACATATTTTTCAATGACTGGGAATCTATCCTTGAATGATAAAACGGAATGCGTATTGTACAGCCTGCGTAAAGTTAGCATTTTACGCACGGTATCAGAGAAAATGTATTTTTCTATTTTAATGAGCGAATTTTCGCTTGACTGAAGAAAGGTACTTTACGCAGTAATGCGTACTGTACAGTATGCATTAGCATTTTACGCGAGATAATGCAGAAGATATATTTTTCAACATTAATTTTGATATCCTTTGTACCTATTGAATTACAGCTAGAATAGTAGTACTTAATTTAAGTACTGACTGAAAAAAAGATACTTTACGCTCTAAAGCGTAATGTAGTACAGTTAGCATTTTATGCGCAGTAGTAGAAAGAACATATTCAATGAGTGAGAACTTATCCTTAAATGAAAAAACGAAGTGCGTAATGTACAGTTTACGTAACGTTAACATTTTACTATTCAAAATTCACATTTTACATGATTTTCGAAGCAAGCGTTGCGGTAAACAAAGCAGTGGCGGTAGTGCTCTGAAAATCAGGTCAGAAGTGTTTTCTTTTATTTAGAGTACATTTGTATCTACCATTGTCGAAATTTCAAAGGAAATTCCATCTCTAGCTATGAAACAGAACACAATGAGATGGTATTAAATTCATACATATTACGGCATATTTCCTATTCCTAATTCCAGCTGGAATCGATCCTGATTTACACGTTTTTGTACTTACTGGGCACTGTCCGTCAGCAAGCGATCATATTAAATGCCTTTTTGAACTGGACAGCAGTCTTCACTAAATTTATACGAAAGAAATACCTCAAGTTGTTCACAGGAAAACTTTGACCTCGATAATTTATTTGCATAGCGAATCTATACATATATTTATATGTATACATGGCAATGTTTGCATAATTGACGAGAGTGATATTTTTACTATCGCATTTAATGACCAACCACTGAAAAGAACTTTGCTGTACCTATTTATGGTTATGTAAGATTAAAAAAAAATTGGAAAGTATGTTAAAATTTTTTAACTTGGTCGATATGCTTATGCGGCAGTCGTGAATGGTTTTCTATGAACCTACTTTATTTACGGTTCGTTGTTAAGGCTTTTGTATAAGTGTCACTTTATTTTCATAAAATTTAAATCCGCGACAAAAACATGCACACTTTTCTACTAAGTTCAAAGGTTTAAAGGAACCAGAAGCCTCTTGTTTTTAACGATGTTACGAATACAATCGTGAATTTGGGTTGAAAGGAAGCTCATTACCATTTCAAAGCACTGATTAATTATTTATTTGAAATTCGCATAAATTTTCAATGTCTAACTTGGTGCGAGCTATTTTTAACCCGGTATTTTCCACGTGAAGTTAGTTTTCAAATGACGACGATTTAAGAAGAATTGCAGTGGGAATAACGAAAAACTATTATTATTAAAAATTGTGTTGAACGAGCCGATAAATATTTTAAGTACATATCTTCAAAATAGTTTTGATGGCCTACATTTCATCTCGAGTATTGTCAAATGAATCGGTGGAACGAATCGACATTCCCAATTTTTCGAATTTTTGGCACACGTGCGGGATCAGAGGAATCCACCACACGCCAACTATCTGTTTTTAGACGCCCGGTCGCAAAAGTGACGGTCTATTAATAGACTCTATTTTTACTCCGCGAACGCATATCCATCATAAAAAAAAACTTTAATGGCTTATTGTGAAAACGTAAACACTCTGTCGATTAGATAAAAAAAGGTCAAACGGGCGAGTTACACCACATATTTTAAATATAATTGCCAGACGACACAATTATTTTTATAAGCGAGATAAACAATCTTATCTCATGTCAAGAAACTGTATGGATGCATCGGGTCGCGACCTACACTATCTCCGTCTGTTTGTTTATTGTTAATCATCGATAAACTGCGCCTCGAACTTATCTTTATTACAATGTGCGGTGGATATTTATTGGTATGCGTGGTGTCGACTGAAACAACACTGCAGTAAATTTTAATTTCATCCGCATCGTTGACCTACATTGTTCCGTAAACCGTTCGAACTTAATTTT